ACGTATTTTAATTAAAATTAATTAATTACTAAATTTTAATATTTTTAATGTATTTTTTAAATAATAGAAAATTTTATTAAATTAATAATTTAAATTATTAAAAATATGTAAAAAACTTAATTTTAATTAATTAATTTTAAATAACTTATTTTAATTATAAATATTAATTTAATATTTATTTAAAATTTAATTTTTAAAAATTTAATTACATATTATGTTTATTTATATAAAAATGGTAAAAAGTTTATCGCAGTTTTCTTCCACAACAAGGTTAGTGGGAGATATCCTCTTTGAACCTAGTGCCATCACAGGCCGCAATGCGCCTGCTGGCAGACCATAGCAGGTTGGGCTACACGGCGTGGGTGCACTGGCTCTAATGGGCGGGCTCCATTACACGAGTGGAGCGAGTGGGCATAGGCAGCGGTTCCGGCCTAACAGGCTGGACAGCTCGTGGATGGGTGGGGCCAGACAGTGCACAGCGGGCTTGCATGAGTGGTTAGAGCCATTTCAGGTGGGCCAGCACTAGATGGGGGCCTTAAAGGCCTGGCCTAAGGCAGGGTTGCCACATGAGGGGGGGGGGGGGGGGGGGGGGGGGGGGGGGGGGGGGGGGGGGGGGGGGGGGGGGGGGGGGGGGGGGGGGGGGGGGGGGGGGGGGGGGGGGGGGGGGGGGGGGGGGGAGGGGGGGGGGGGGGGGGGGGGGGGGTGTTGGATTTCTTTTAAGTTATTCCATCAGAGTTTTTTCGTTGGACAACCATTGAAAAATATTTCTGTTGAACTAATTCTGTCGGAAAATATTTATGGCAAATTATTTTGATGGAGAATTTTTTTTACGCTTGATTTACTGTTGAAAATGTTTTCTCTAAAAAATTTAGAATTCTATCAGAAAATTCAGAATTTTTCTCCGGTAATATGATACTTTCCTGTAGTGATCAGTACTATTAATTAATAAGTAAATCATATAAAGTGATAAAATTAAAGCATTGGCAAAGACTGCCAAAATCAAATTAATGCAAAAAATTCCTATAATGATGTGCACATGTTATCCAGTTATTCTATATTAGTATCTTAGTTACATACATAGTATATTATATGCTCAGTATTTTATAGTGACTTAATAACAATAATAAAAAATGTAAGCATTAGTGGAATTAGTAACCATTTAGTAATAGTATCGATGTCTGGATTAGTAGAAGAAAATTATGTGGTTATAGTAATAAAATAATCCAATAATAATGAACTTGTACAGTGATAGTAAATTAAAATAGTTTCAATAATAATGTACAGTAATAATAAATCCATAATATTCCTTTTAATTGTCAAACTAAATATGTAAGAAGTCCCGACTTAATTGTTGTTTTTTAAGTAATTAGTAATCAGTAGTTAGCAATCATTGGCTTAGTAAAAATAGTCATCATTTTTTTGACCGTCGACTTAGTATAACTCTTTATAACTCCCAATTATTATATTATTGTATCAGATAACACCAAATTATAATATTTAAATAATTATGTCAGTCCACCTTCATCTATAGGTCAATCAATCTTCAATCAATGGGTCAATTTGTCTATACTATTTTTCACACAAGAAAAGTAATAGTGATCAACAATTACTCAATCACGCATTTATTTTTACTTGCAATGCTTGTATTAATAATATGCTTAAATAAAAACACTCAATTAATATACAGTGCAAATATTCATGATTCAATAACTTTTGTGTTACCTATTGAAAGTCATAGATATTTTAGTCAAAATGCCCAGAATAATCAGTACTATAATATACAAAATGTTGTTGGTAAAAGATTAAATAAAATCATGAAAAATATAGTAAAATTTATTCTGGAGAGAATTAAATGGTTAAATTTAAAATATTTGAAAATAGAGATAGGATTATAATCACTTATCTTGATCTGAAATTTTTTTGTAAAAATAGCAAAATAATTGAAGACCAAAAATACAATTTTTTCCTTTCTCTCTGATGTGCTGAAATTCAAATAGGAATTCAATTTTTTTCCATTTTCAATTATTTTTAAAAAATTTTATATTTCTTTCAGTTCCAAAGGATTTATATGAATTTTATGCTAAAATTGATTGAATTATATAATTACATTATAATAATTATTATTTTTTATATAAAAATATGTTTCCACTAACTAAAAACTTTTAAATCCCTTTTCTCCTTTTCCTTTGACTAATAGATAATTAAAATGAGATAAGAGATACAAGAGAGGAGAGAGAAAGAGAAGCTTAGGTTTGGAGTTTGTATAGCAATTTTTGTTTGTCGACCCTATTGGAAAATTTTCTCATCTCATTATATTGAAACACCCATTTGGCACACTAGTTAACTTACCACTTTGATGAAGTTGACAAGTATAGAATAATATTAATTTAGATGATCTACACAACATGGTAAAATTATCTGCATGAGCTCCTTATATATTAAAGTGACATTAAAGATCATAATATATATTAAAGACAATTCCAAAGTTTAATACCTTATTTTAAAATCAATTGCAAGCATTCATTATCATACATAGATGCATCAAGTTGATTTGTTTCATCTGACATTCTAGATATATAATCTTTATCACTTCAATTGGATTAATCTTATTTATGATTTTTCAATATGATCTTGCCCATTTGATTGTAATTACAATTTCTCTCAATCATGTCATTTTTCCCAAGAAAAATTTTAAATTGCTCATGCTCTTTTGACTCATTTTTCCCTAAGTGTAATCAAGTTATTTTGGTTATGCTATTTTATTTGTATCCTATTTTTTATCACTACATCTGTTATCTAGTCATACGCTTTTCGCTAGAAATTCTCTTGATGTCGCCATACTCTTTTAGCTAAATCATTCCTCAGTAAGGTTATGCTCCTTCGACCTTGAAAACTTTTTATGTGCCTTCCTTTTAGGAACATTTTTTGACTTGCCATATCATGTTGGTTGATCGGGTTCTATCCTAACTAAGTCATAAATCTATAGATGAGTCTATTGGTAGTTCAATCATATCCATTTGGATTGGATATTTTTAATTTTGGATATGCAATTGATCCAAACTATTTCTTTTTTTTTCAAGTGGATTCTCTCCACTTGAACTTATTTTATATTATAATATTGAAGTTTTTCTAAATACTTAAAATATTTTTAACTTAAATCATTATACGATATTCAAACACTTTATTCTTAAACTTGATAGTTGATGATCTCAACTATATCTATGAGTATTATTGTATTGAATTTTTTCAAACTAATGAGTCATAGTATGCACAATTTAAACAAAATTCTATGTCTTTTTCCAAAATTATAGATTGGTACATTTCTATATATAGTTGTGTTAATTAGTTTTTTTTTTATTAAAGCAATAGTAAAAATACTTTTGAGTTAGGCTAGAACACATTCATCTTAAGTGTGATAATACTAGTGTTGTTAGTTTAAGTAAAAATCCAATTTAGCATTGATGGGCCAAGCATATTGAAATTAGACTCTATTTTAGGGGTCATATTTGCAAGGGTGGTTTTAATATTGAATTTGTTAGCATTGATTTTCTAATTATTGATATTTTTATAAAACTTTTATTTGAAGAATTTTTTTGTGCTTTGAGATGAATGATTAACATGTTAGATCAAAATATTTATTTTGACATATTTATTCTCACTTATTTTAAACTATTCTCAAATCTTTTTAATGTTGCTAAAAGGTGAAGATGTAGCTTTATAGGTTCTTTACATTTTCTTTACATGCAAACATTTAGGTGGAACAACATATAATATCTTATTTGTTGAAACTAAAAGGGTGATGTAAGATCATTTTGCAACTTCACCATACTCGCTATTGACTTAGATTTATCAACATAAAAAAGGGAGAGATTATTAACCACGTGAGCAAAATGACTTATTAGTTTAGATTTTGATAATGACAAATATATGAATGTAAGCTACTAATATTTAATTTTAAGTGTTTCAAGCAAAATATCTAACTTAACATGATCAACTAAATCAAGAAAATCAAATAAGAATAGGTTGGGCTTTGTTGGGTAATTATATTTTTTTTGAATAAAATTATAAATATTTCACATAAAATTAAAAACAATCTAGAATAAATATTATTTTATTTATAAAAATTATTAAAATTATATTTATAAAAATTATCTAGCATATCTCCTATTCTTTATTTAATACATATAATGGTCATATATGTAGTTAACTTCTAGTGTGATGTGTAGCCTTAAAGAAGGAATATTGGAACCATTAGGAGTATTGAAGTGAAATATTGGCATGCCTAAACATTTGATATTTGAATATTATAGATTTTATGGAGATAGAAAAATTGTAGGAAGGCCTTAAACCTTTCTTTTCACTTGTACATGCATGCTCGACAAAGAATGTACATATAAACAAGTTCATATTTAGACTTGTATCATGCATATTTATTCTATATGATAAAAATTTAAAAATAAAATAATTTTTTTATTTTTAATGTTCAGTTTATAATTTTAGTTTTTTTATCTTTGTTGCGTATTTAATAGATCTAGTAAGGAGCCATTATTGTTTGATCTGTAAATAGAAAAAATTCTCACAAAATTTAAAAAAACTAAAAAGATTTTAATTTTTTTTGACCCAGTATAAGATTAAGAGCATTCTAGATCTCTTAGGAAGTATGCTAACCTTATAGTAGAAGAATCCATCAAAGTATAAATAGACCTACTATCAAGGCTAATAATTTTGTACTTAGATGGGCTATTATTCAAATGGTTTAAAATTTTTAAGTTATGGGAACTACTTTTGAAAATCTCAACTTACGTTTATTGAATTTCTTGGAAATTTATATAATATTTAAGTATAATGATGTCAGTAATGATACTTGTAAACTTAAATTATTCCCATTTTCTCCAAAGGATAAGGCTAAGACGTGGTTGAATTTTTGTCCCTATGCTCACCACATGGAATGAGTTGGCACACAATTTCTTAGCTAAGTATTTCTCACCTTAAAAATCATCATACTTTAAAATGTTATCACTTCCTTTTCCTAGTTTGAAGAAGAATCAATTTATGAAAGTTGGGAGAGATTTAAGGAAAAGTTTAGGAAATGACCTCACCATGCCTTAACCAATTTGTTGGTTATTCTTATCTTTTATAATAGATTAGTAAGATCTCTTAGGTCAATTATAGATGTTGTAGCTGGAGGATCTTTGATATCTAAGCCATTTGAGGAGGAATATGAAATAATAAAAGAAATGTCTACAAATGATTTTTTAGTGGCCTGTTGATAAGGTGGATCCTAAGAGAGCAACTAGAGTTTATGAATAAGATACTTTGTCAATTCTTACTGCTCAGATAAGTACTATTTCAAAGAAGTTGGATATTATTAAAGTTAATTTAGGAATAGGATCATCTATATAGTTGGATGAATCTAATTTGAAATTTGTTGATGATATTGATGCATTAGGGATTGAAAAAATGAATTTGATTAGAAGACAAAATAATTCATATTCTAATCCTTACAACCCGGGTTGGAAGAACTACCCGTATTTTAGTTGGTTAAATAATGTTGGTTGTAATAATTAGTAGAATTTGGGACAACCTAAGTAAGGAGAAAATTGAAATAACCCTCAACAACCTATTGTGAATCTTAAACCTTCTTATCCCTTAAATTTTGATCAAAATAATCAATTTATAAATAGAAAGACACCTTTGAAAGAGGTAGTGATTCAATTGGAAACTCAATTGCAAAGTCAAGTTATTTCTATAAGAATTTAAAAACTTAAGTATGATAACTTGTAATCTCTTTTAGTACCAGACCTCTTGGTTTATTACTTAGTAATACTAAAGTTAACCCTAAAAAGAAAGAGAAAGTTCATAGTGGAAACCACTTGAGGAATGGTAGTGATACACCCCAGCCAAAATGAAAAATCTAAGCAAGTTTGGCAAAAATGTATAAACTTAGCATGGAAGTTCTTTTCTTTATTTATTTCTGTTCTTAAATGTTGTGTCATATTTAGTTTGTAATTTTCATATGTATTTAGTTATGATAGATTAATGTTAGTTTACAATGTGTTATGTTGTTGACTAATTTTATTATGCTTAAACTATTGTGCACTATCCTTTATAGATATTATATTTTAATTTCTTATTCAGCAAAATAATAATTATAGTTAAAAATTAAATAAAATTAGGATAATAATAAAATTTAAAATTATAGTTTAAATTAATATTAAATAAAAATTTATAATTTGAAAGCTTAATAATTAACTAAATTGGGTCAACTAAGCCATTGACATAATTTGGAATTTAGAAATTATATATTAACTTATTAACAACTGAATTAAAAAGAAATAAATAAGTTTAAGGATTAGATTTGAGTATCTTAAATTATGTCAATCATATTAAAATTAAAAATTGAAACTACTGATCTTATTAATTTCTTTTATTAATTTAATAGGGATGAATAGAATGAAAGCAAAAAACTAATATTAAAAAATCGTTAAGTATGAATTTCACAAATAATAAAAGAAAGAAAATTTTGAAAATATTAAAAGAAAATATTGCAAATAATGAAAAAGATGAGTGCCTTCAAAAATTTGTATCAGTTATAGCTTAAATTCAAATATATTCAATTACGTACATAAAAAATGATAAAATAAGTAAACTACTATATGTGAAGTTACAATAATGAATTTCCTATTTTACTATGAGCAACTAGTCCCTATGTTTCATTATTCATTTAATAATTAGAAGTCAATTTTAAATTTATATAAATAGTTAATAAATTCAAAATAAGTAATAGCAATGGTGATTGATTGGGATGATTGTTATGGATTTTTCAAATTAGAATTATAACTTTATTCATTCTAAAGCGCTTCTAGACTGTGTTGTACTATATTATATTTTAGTAATTTTAAATTATCAAATTTTTACTTTGACTATCAAGTGAGCAAGGTATGAATGTTATCGTTGCTTGAGAACAAACAAGACTTTAAGCTGGGAGAAATTATTAAGTGTAAATTATATATTATTTATTGTATTTGAATTTTAGTGAAAATATGTTATTTTTGTTGTGTTGTATAGGAAATACTCAAAAATGGTAAAAATTACATGTTTGAAGTAGCGTTGTGGTGCACGAGTATATTACGTCATAATTTCAAGTTCAATAACACAAAGGTGGCAGTTTTTGACATTGTAGTGCTTGTCTTCTCTTTTTTCAAGCACCGTGGCAGAACCATAATAAGCATAACGGCATTACATAGCCCACTATACTAAAATTTTAGCACTATAGTATCGGACGTCTCAGGAAAATAAATGTTGCAGCACCATGCCTTTTAATGCCTCAGTGTTGAATTCTCCATTCGAGCATCACAACGCTCAAACTTTTGGAGTTATAGGATAGAGCAGCTACTAATGCGAGGAGTTGTTCCAACTCAGCAAAAAGATACGTTGTTTCAATTAGTAAAGGTGCCAAGTCAGCCAACAGAGTAGACTTTACAGCGTTGACATGCTAGCTTATTTTTCACTGCCATAGTGCCACCCTATCAAGCGCCACGATGCTTGAGACCATTTTTGCCATTATTATAAACAGTTCTTCAATTATTTTGTTAAAGAGTTCTTTCATTAGAGTGAAATCCTATCCTTATAATTGTATTTTTTTAGTACCCCCTTAGAGTAAAGTCTAAGAGAGGCTAGGAAAATGTAAAATACTTTTTTTTTATGGAGATATTAGCCTATTTTCATAAGCATCTCTATTATTTATGAAAGGAGTGTGGATAAGATCATTTAATTCTTCCTCATGACAATTTTCTTATTACTTCTTTTGTATTGCTTCTTCTATTGAATAAAATGATAATTGGTTTGCATATTATTTCGTCATTGTCAAGCTAATTCTCTAGTTTTGGGCTAATGATTTAGTTAGCATAGTATGTACTAATGAAGACTATTGTTCTTTGATGAAAGTATTGATATTTTCAATATCTCCCGTACTTCATTTAATGCATACAATGCTATATGTGTAGTTGAAACCTGTGTGATCTATAACCTCGATAGATAAATATTGGAATAATTAAAAGTAATGAAATGGAATATTGACATGCCTAGGCATATGATGTTTGAATATTCTAGGTTTTATAGATATGGAAAATTGTAGGAAGGTCATAAAACTTATTTTTCACCCATACAAGCTCGACATAAATCTAGGGAAGCATATACTCTGATCCGCGTCTACATTTAAGAGTCTCATTAGGAAAGCTATTTTTTTACACATTCATTAGTCCAAAATATTTTATTTTTAGAAGTATTAAATTTATTTTACATGTTTTTCTTTCAGAGATAAAAACTCTAAAATATCATTTTTATCTTTAGTAAGGTAAGCCGTGCATTTGAAGTAGTAGTAGTTGTTAAGTTGCAACTAAGCATCACAAGTTCTCGTGACTTCAACACTCTACTCGATCACTTTATTAATTAATTTGACATGTGTACTTGCATATTTTATCGGGCTTACTTTAATTTCAGATAAAAAAACTAAGCATATTGTAAACTCAGCGAAATCTCATAGTTCACACCATTAGTATCTACTAACCGCCTTAAGCGCCATCACAAACTATCTTTTCAAATAAATTTAAAAAATAATTATGATCAAATTTAATTTATTATCTTATTACAAATCTAGAATTTGAGAGAAAATTATTTTAAATGATTCGAGAGATCAATAATATTATTATATATATTCTTTTTCTTTATATTTTAAGTTTTTGGGTTATACCACTCATTGTAGGGGCAAATTATTGGGTCAGGTGACCGGAGGCGGAAAATAAGTTCGGACATCCAATAAAAATTTGTCGCGTCACCTTGCGCTTTAGTTGCGCTTTTTGACTTGCGCTTTAGTTGCGCTTTGGTTGCGCTTTAGTTGCGCTTTGGTTACGCTTTAGTTGCCCTTTTTGACTTGCGCTTTAGTTGCGCTTTACCTGCGCTTTAGTTATGCTAATTTTAAAATAATATTTTATTAATATCCGGACCCATCTCTGCGTTCGGTCACCTGACCCAATAATTTGCCCATTGTAGGAGGAACGTGATTTGATTTTTGTAAGGGATTGTACTCACCCCATTGTAGGAGAGTACAAAGACTTTATCATATTTTGAGGTTATTTAGTGGAATTGTAGAAAGGGTTTCCTAGGTGAGTAGGGCGTTTTTGGTGTTTCGCTAAACCATATAAAAATATTGTCTCATGTTTCTCTTTATTTTTTCCTCGCACTTTTGTTTAGTTTGTTTTCTAATTATAATTTTATCTAAAATTTGTTTTCAACAAAAAATAAAACTATTAATTTATTTTGTAAGAAATTTTTAATGTACATCAAATTTACCCCTCCTCTTAAGTGCTTTATTACTCTGAGTAAGGCTTCGTTTGAGACAGGTTTCTTACTACTTCTTAAAGCAGCTTTTTAGTATAAAAATTAAAATATTTGTACTAGAAAGTTGCTTTAAGAAGCTACAAGAAAGCCGCCCCAAACGAAGCCTAAATCTCATTATAAAGGCCTGCGTAGAGTTTTTATTCTTGTGCACTTACAAATAAACAACTCATAATACACCCTTTCAACTTTATACTACATACTTTTGGCTTCAAGGTTTCATTTGGGACGACTTTTATATTGATTCTTAAAGCAGTTTTTGAGTACATAAATTTAAATTTTATATTGGAAAGCTGCTTTAAGAAGCAGTAAGAAAGTCGTCCAAAATAAAGCTTAAGTAAATATAAATTTTGCTGTACTGAAAAATAAAATAACCTAACTATGAAAACAACAGGTTGTTTTCATTAATAATCAAAACTATTTTATCTAATAATTTTAATAAGTCTTTTTATTAAAGAAAATATTAGAAATTTTTTGAAAAACTTACAAAAAACTACTATTAATCAACATCACCTTGATCATCAGCACCACCATTACCATCATGGGCAGTAGCAACCTTATCTTGATTACCTAAATCACCTACTTGCTATAGCTCTTTTAAGGAATGGAGGAAAAAGTGAAGGAAGGTTGTTAGTTGGGGATAAGGGCTCTTTATGGCAAAATTTTCATGAAAATTTATGTTGTTTTTAAATAGGTGTTTAGGATGGAATTTTATTTTGAAAAATCCACTAGAAACACCTCAAAAAATCGGTTGAAAATTTTCATCTATTTTGTCGTTGGAGATTTCGACCATTTTGCTTCAGCTGATAACAACTTTTTTTCACTATAGTGTTTGTTGGTGAGGTGGTGGGTGGGACGAGGTCGATGATGGAGTGGTCAAGGGGAGTATATTTTAGTGGTGGCAGGCAAAGGATAGGCAAATGTATTAGGTAGGTCACTCCATCTGATGAGAATTTATTCATAACTATAATAATTATAAATCAATTAAAGATGTGAATGGTCATGCTAGGGTGAAAGAAAATTTTAATAAAAAAAGGAAATGGTTGTGTTAGGGTTACAACATGAACAGAAGATGGAGGCTAACGGGTCATCTTCAACCCTAATGTTATAGATTACAAATGATTCTAATATTGGTGTTTAATGTCAACCTAGACACTAATGCCTACTATCACCAATCAAGGCTTTATGCTTGCCATAATCAATATGGTTGATTAGCATCAAGATCAACACACATCATGATATCAATGTCAACAATTACTAACATCACCAATAAAGCGGATGCTCACGATCAACACTTACATCATTGCCCACAGCACAAATAAGGGTAACGTCTGATGTTCATCTTATTAGTCATTGGTCTCAACTCCTATAAGTATGATTGAGCATGTTATTATTATTTTTTTATGTTATGATTGTTATAAAGAATTGACAATTAAATTGAAATGATATTTTAATCATATATATTGAGAAAATAATATTTGATTCTTTTAATATGACATAATGGAGAAAAAGAATTCATGTAGCCGACCCCAAGTAGTGGGATAAAGGCTTGATGTTGTTGTATTTTTTGTTGTTGTATTAAAAATAAAATAATCATTTAACTTATTCATAATAAATGCATTATAAATTATAAAATTCTTTAACATTTTATTTTTTATCTTTTTAAAATAAGACATTAAAATAATTTTTTTTTTATGTTGACAATGTTGGTCTCAAGCACAAATTTAAAAAAAAAAAGTTGAGATAATATTTGAAATTTTTAATTTGTGTCCCCACTGAAGAAATTTCTAGCTTTCCAACAATGTGAGTAGCACAAGTTTTTGATTTCTTGTATTACTACTATATTGTATATTTTATATGTTGGTTGAAAGTTTTGACTACCAATCAAGAGATTTTAGCTTCAAGCCTGATGTGTGTGTGAGTTTTTCTTAATATGCCTAAATGTCCTTAAATAAAGAAAAAGTTTTTGTATAGTTTCATGTGTAATTTAACCATAACTCCATGCTAATGAAGTTTCAAGTTAGTTAAATTTTTTTTTTTTAAAGAGGTTTAATTATTTAACAATTTTTTTCAACCTTCAAAGTCAAGTCATTAAAGGACAAGCATTGCGCCGAGTATACACGTGTAATCAAGTCGCGTCAACGCATTAAGTAGTCAGTACACTTTAGAAAGCCGAACAAACAAGTCCAGCTGAAATTGCCATGGGGTTGAAACATCTAACCTTTTGACCAAATCCATCACCACCGCACGTTCTCTTCACAACCACATATTTATTAAGATCCAACGGTCAATTTATTCTCAAATCCAACCACGCTGCTCGGACCCGACATTCGGGGTCAACCCAAATTCCTCTTAACGACCCCACCAGAACCTTTCACCACTCCACCGGCCATCCAAATATTCTTCTCGTCCACACCAATTCCCACTATGTATCTCTCTCCACTATAAGAAGTTAGGGAAATGAAGTCCGCATATACGTTCTTTCAGCTTAACATGGTTGCCAACGCCGGATCGGCAAGGCCGGACCGCAAGACGATAGAAAAAAAACGAAGGATGCATATGAAGTCACTCTACGCAAGGCTCAACTCTCTCCTGCCTTGCTCAAAGGTACAAAGAGCTCATATTGTAGAATTGTAATGAAACCCTACATGATTGAATTTGTTCATTATACCTATATGTTTATGCATATTACAACTGTTTTGCTTTGTAGAAAGGGGTATCACTGCCATTGCCCGAGTTGCTTGATGAGTCTGTGAGCTATATAAAGGATCTGCAGAAAAAGCTAGAGCAAATGAAGGAGACAAAAAGTCAACTGGCCGGCGGCATGGGATCGGAGATCAGCACAATTACGCCACATTTGGACTTGAGGGAAGTTGATGGCAGGGTTGGCGTGGCGATTATAACAGATGCGCGGGATTTGTCTGTTTTCTGTAAGGTTGTTGAAGTGATTGAAGAGGAAGGAGGCGAGATATTGAGCGCTAATGTGACGATCGTTGGTAACAAGGCTTTTTACATCATCCACTCTTTGGTAAGTGCAAGTTTAATTCTATATATTCTACTATCTAATCTGAAGAACAAAAGGATGGGGACAGCTTTTCGATTGCTTTTCTTTTTAGTCGTCAAATTTTCATTTGTTATTATTTTCTTGTTCTTTTCAAACTGATTTTCAAAAATTTTTAAGCGGTTGGGATTTTCAGAAGGTCAAAGTCTTCATACTAATATAAAAAATAATAAAAATGACTTCTAGCCACTTAAAATATCAGTCGTGTAAAAAAGTGATTGAAAAATAAAGTGTGAGGATATATGCTCATATCTTTTTAATATATATAAAAGAGATTAGTTAGATATTATGAGAGATTCAATATTTTCTTTGTTATTTGTGTTCAGGTGGAGGAGGGCAACAGTGGTTCTGAGACGATAAGGGTTTCCGAAAAGTTGAGAAATAGAGTTAAGAGCATTGTTTGAAGTGGCCCCCGCTGCTATTACTGCTGTTTAGTTAGGTTGTGCTTTGAATCTGGAGCGGAAGGCACTATTTTGTTAGGCTGTGTTGTGCCTTTTTCGTTTGATTTCGGTTCATTTTATAATAAAGTTTAACCTAAATCGTCTGCCTTTTTCAAGCTCCTGGAAAACAGAGAGATCAGGCATAGTTTGGACCTTGATCAATTAATTGGATTTTTTTAGGAAACATTATTAAAGCTGTTTTTTCATCATGTTAATAATTTTTTAAATAAAGACTACAGAAATTGTGTTATTGAGTTAGCCCGGCATAATTAAATGGTGGCCAGAACTCAGAAGTGATAATAGCCAGGTCTTGAGATAAAGGTGAAGTGATGGCAGTGGACGTGGAATAAAATTATTTAAAAAAAAGTATTCAAAAATTATTTTGAGTATTTTTAAAATAATTTAACTTATTTTCAAAAAAATATATATATTAAATGAACATATTAAAAAATCAAAATAGAAAATAAGCGATCCCAAATAAGGTCTAAAGTCCACCATTCACACCAAACAAAATTAAATCTATGAATGTCATAATTACCAACAACCGAAAATGGCCAATATTCAAGCCAAGAGAACCAATTCATGTCACCAAAATCTGCCAATTTTGACCCAGATTTATGTTGGATCTTTATATCCAAATATAAAATACAAAAATAAAAATCATGATTTTTAGAAAATTAAATTGAGACATTCTCCATAATAATTTTCTTAATAAATAATTTTATAATATGAAAAGAAGAAAACTTACCAAATTGTGGATTAAGATTGTAGATCTTTTTCGTCAAAATGTCGATTGAGACCGTAAGTCTTCTTCTTCTAATCACCCCACTAAATATACTTTAGTGAGTGAGCACAATCAATCAATTATTGATGAACACTTTTCCTTTTGAATCTAATTTGTGTTCTAAACACAATTTAATCATTCAAAAAGAAGAAACCATGAGACCAATATTCTTCTTATACTTCTTCCATCTCTCATGAAGGAATCATCAATCATCATCATTTTCATGTAGAACTTAATTCTTATTTATAAGAAAAATTCACATCTTTTCATAAGCACCTCTTATTATTTCATGAATCATTTTTAATAAAAATTAAAATGATAATTATCATGACACATCATCAATCTTATCTTTAATCTTATCTATATCAAAAAATATATTTGATGATAATTATCATGACACATCATGACTTATCATCAATCTTATATTTATCTTTTAATATTAAGAAAATATTAATGATGAGTCATCATTATCTTCATGAAAAATAAAATTAAAAGATGACCATACATGTGTTACTAATTAATGTGATCATAATTTAACATTTATATTATGTCACATTCTTAACAATTGTGTTCAATATATAATAGAGCTTAGGTGATGAAGAAGAGACCTATGGACATATAATTTCAAGCTCCAATAAATTTGATTATTAATTTAACTATTAAATTAATAAATCAAAATTATTAATTTCAATATTGTTCCACTATAAATATGAAATTACACTCTTGAAAATATAGTATAATTTACTCAATAAAAAATTGAATTGTCCATTGATTTAATCATTACATATAAAATAATCCTCCATAAAAAGTTCATAATTAAAGCTATGTAATTTTATCACCTCACTAATTATATTTTGATCATTGTATTCCAATTAATTCTCTAATGAACAATAAACTTTGTGACATCGTCACAAAATTTGAGCGCCCAATTGTTCAAAATATGAATTAATTATTCAAGGGAACTAATTTTCTAACTTTCAAAAATGAAAGGAATGGA